AGAGAAAATACTGGCCAAATTTATCTGGAAAAATGGCATATCAGTTAGAAGTCAACAAGAGAGTCCCGAAAGTATGGGCCTAATAAGGTGGTAGTATTTAATAGGACTAAATGTAGGTTTCTAATCTAGGGTCCAAAAACACTGGAAAAAAAATATGAGATGTATGGCTTAACAAGAATACATACTAAAAATTTTATTAAGAATTTTAATTGGCAATAAAGACACTGAAAGTCAATAATGTGCTTACTGAGAGTTAATACATCAGGCTGCAATAGTAGAATTACAACAACTTAAGAAGAAAGAGATGATCCCATTTTATTCGAGCCTGGGTTTCCTCTGAAATTTTTGTTTCTACATGACCAGCACACTTTATAAAATATAACATTAAAATGGTGAATATTTAACCCTCATCACATGAAGAATAGCAACAGAACTTGGAAATGTTAGGATAAAATAAAGCTGAAGAGAGAAAGGTTGTCCTCAAATACCTGTCATTTGGAAAGGCTTTATTTAGGCCTATCCTTCATGGCCCCAAGAGGGAAAAATTTTGTTGACCTGGCTAAGGCCTCCTCATCCTTCAGGAAACATCACTTCCTCATGGAGGCCTCTCTGACTCCAGAGCACTGGCTTCTTCTCTGTTGGGCACAAATCCTACCTCTAATTGTCAAATCGTGTTAGCCTTGCTAGACTGCAGACTCCCAGAGAGGGTGGACTGGTCTGATCTGTTAGTCCTCTAACACTCTGTGCCTACCACAGGTAAATGAATATAACAACATCTGAGGAACAGATGTGACTCTGCTATGAAAATGTAATTTTTTAATACAATTGTGTAGAGATTCATGGGCTGCCTCAGGAAGTGGCAATTTTTCTCTCACAAGAAACCCTCACCCAGGCTTAAAATGGTGGTCCACTTGCCTGGGGCAGGAGTGGGTGAGGTAGAGGAGATTAAAGCATCAGGGGGTGACTGGCTTATATGATTTTTAGCCTCCTTGCCCCTCTGAAGCCCTCTTGTTTGAGTTCTGCTAGAAGAGGTCATGTTTATTATGTCCCAGGTTTCACTTAGCACATTGGCTGTATTCTGATCCATTTTAGAAAAGTTTTAGTGATAAATTTCTGTGTAATTGCTTCCTTTCAAATCCAAATTTCATTTGATGGTTTTCTATCTTTTCCTTCTCCTTCTCTCCCTACTCCAAAAAGTTGATGATCAATACTTCTATTTCACTGTAAGGATGCATAAAGCTTCAGGAAATATGTAGCAGACAGTGAGGTGAGGTCAGACCAAAGACAAGAGAAATATTTTTGAGGTTCTTAGCATCAACTGTGCCAAACATAAATGCAGATTTGATAAATGACACAAAGTCATTACCTCTCCATTTCCCTTTCTGTGGATTTGATTTTTACAAGGCCTCAATTTTCCATAAAAACAGACCAGATTTATAGCAAATACAAAGACTACATCTTTTATTTATAAAGCAAAAATCTACCCAAATACTTTTCATTAAAACTATGTGCCCTATAATACTGGCTTTTAGAGTATTAGGAAGCATTAGATAACTTTGGTTATTCCTGTGGGAATTAATACACAAAGAACTTGAAAGCCCATCTCCTCAGCACAGTTCCTGAGACTACCAATTCTGACCTTGATTACTTGATTCAGTTCAATAAGAAGTTTTGAGATGAGGCTGTCATGTAAACAAACACACATGCTCGCTCTCCTTTCTCCACTCACTGATGTCCTTCTTGAGGAATACCTTTTGTAAAAGTACGCTCAGCCAGGAATCAATTCCTAGGCAATTATGAAATTAGGAAAACAATATGGCATTAATAATTAAAATACAAACCTAACATTTTTTTTTTTGCTTTAAATATTTTTTGGGGGAAAGGACACCATATTTCTACTCAATTAAGAGAAACATTTTTGGGGCACCTCAGTGGCTCAGTCATTAAGTATCTGCCTTCAGCTCAAGGCACAATCCAGGGTCCTGGGATTTAGTCCAGCCTCGGGCTCCCTGTTCAGCAGGAAGCCTGCTTCTCCCTCTCCCTCTCCCCCTGCTTGTGTTCCCTCTCTCACTGTGCTTTCATCAAATAAATAAATAAAATCTTAAAAAAAAAAAGAAACATTTTTATAATCTTGAGGTTTTTTATTTTCTTTATATTTATCAAGCCACAATTCATAGGGAATGGGTTCTAGCAGTTCAAGCTCCTTTCCATCAGTTCTCATAAAGTGTGCTTCTCTGGGTGGAGCAGACTGGTGTTTCCTCTGACCCCAAGTACCTTTTTCTTTGGCTTCCTTCTTTTCCTGATCATTTTCCTTCACAGGCTTCAGGAAGCTATCTCGGATCCTTGAGCGTTCAATATGCTGAATGTTAGAGACCATAATTAAAGAAGCGAGACTGATACAAAGCGAAGGTCAAGCAAAGCTTTATTTCACGCCAAGCATCGAGAATCAAACTGACCGGTCAGGGCCGTCTCTTTGACCTTCGCTTTGTATCAGTCTCGCTCCTTTGATTACGGACCCTAACACTCAATGCATACATTAATTCTCTTGGCAAGAATCTTGCCTTTAACTTGTTTACAACCATGCCAACAGCATGCTGAGTAACCTTATAGACTCTTTCAGTGTTGCCATGGTAACATTTGTGGGGCATTCTTCTTTGAACAGTGCCCATTCCCCTGAGGTCCCCAATATCACATTTCTTGTAGATTTGAATGTATGTGGCCAAAGGAACAACACCATGTTTTCTACAAGGCCTAGAGAACACAGAGCAGGTACCTCTCCTCTTTCCCTTTGTGTTGGTCATTTTGGCGATTTTACTACAAGATGGCAGTTCTGGACAAAAGGCCAAATCTAACTTACTTTTGAATCTTAGTACGTCCACTGAGAAGTTTCTGAAAAAAATTAGGTTGAGATAGGGCTGCGGAGTTACACAGAGGGGAGGAAGCAGACAAGAGTGGAAAGATCAGCTGTTAGGAGGGCAATCCCACCAGGAAAAGGGGCTTAAAGAGAGCTCTCCCCAGAAGAGAACTCACTAAGACTGTTCTGGGGAAGTGTGGGCCAGATGGAGATGGTTCCTATCACCTTTAAGTTTCATGCCTCTTTCTGAGGTTATTCCTTATTGCAAGGATGAGCAAGACAAGGAAGAGTTTACAGAGAAAACATGAGGAGAATGGAGAAGGCATGCAACTTTCAAAGGCTTAATGTTTTTTCTTTTGTACTATGTCATGCTGGCATTTCAAGACCAGAAAGTAAATCCTTGATTTAGATCTTCTGATAGTCCTCTGTTTTCTACAGCTTTAAGCATAACCTGCCAAATAAGGTACGCACACCTACATTTAGTATAACTTCAGACATGTCTACGAGAAAAAAAAATACATGTGGAAAAAGTATGTCTATGCTAAGCAAATATTACATGGATATACTCTTCAGAGCGGTGCTTCTCAAACTCAGTTGTGCCTACACATTACTGGAGATGTTGCTGACATGCTGAATGTAGGCCAGCAGGTCTGAGATGCTGCATTTCTAACAGGCTCTCAGGTGATGCTGTTGTTGCTCACTCTAAGTACGTTTTAGACCAGGACATGAAAACCCAGCTTTGGCAGGAAATCTGTGCCCGCACCTTCATTCCCACTCCCCTTCTTCTCCCCTGAGTTCCTATACTCTTTCCTGTTTCGCTACTGTAAGAAAATTTCAGCACTGAGCTAAGTGAGTACAAAAGAAAAGAAAATATTCTAAAATCACGACTTCAAGTAGAGCAGTAAGATTTTTAAGTTGTCTCAGGGGTAGAGACATAATTTTTGATATGCATGAATTATACATACTTCATGCAAATCATTGAACACAGTAGCCTATTTCTTTCCATAAATGAAGCCCTATGTCTGCATAACTTAAAGGAAGTTTATTTCATTAATGCACAGCACACCATCTCATTGTTCAGGTATCTCTGGAGAGTGAAGTGGTCTGAATAAGCCGAATTTTTCAGATAACTAAAGTTTATCTTAAGTTTCTGAATATATGGGCACCATGCTCAGCTGGGAGTCGGCTTCTCCCTCTCCTCTGCTCCTCCCCACTGCTCACGCATTCATACTCTCTCTCATAAGTAAATAAATAAAACTTTAGAAAGGGGGTGCGCCTGAGTGGCTCAGTCAGTTGAATATCTACTTTCAGCTCAGATCATGACCTCAGAGTCCTAGGATCAAATCCTGCATCAGGCTCCCTGTCAGCTGGAAGCCTGCTTCTCCCTCTCCCTCTGCCACTCCCCCCTGCTCACAGGCTCGCACACTCTCTCATAAATAAATAAATCAGATTTTAAGTTTCCAAATATATTTGTTTCAGTGATTTTTAATCAAAATTTTCATTAACATATCCTAGACTTGTTAGTCTTATAAAACAAGGTTTAACACACATCCACAATTATCCAAGGTCAACAATGATTCTGCTATGGCATGACATAACAATGCTATGGGAGCTTCTCAGTCTGTATGGACATATGTGCTCCTTCCCACACAGAAGAGTCTTAGAGTGGCCCCCTAGGTCTTAGACTTCTGCTTCTTTCCTCTATGATCAGCTTTCTGCTGACTGCCCTCCTCTTATAGTTTTTAATCTGCTGCTATATTTTTCACATATATTCTGGGAAAGATTCTGAGACTGACTCCCCTCTCATCTCTCTTATTTATTATTATCTTTAAAAGATTTTATTTATTTATTTGAGACAGCACAAGAGGGGCAGAGGGAGAGGGACAAACAGACTCTCCACTGAGAAGGGAGACCAATGTGGGACTCAACCCCAGGACCCTGGGATCATGACCTGAGCCAATAGCAGACCTCAACCGACTGAGCCACCCAGGCACCCCAATATTATTATTTTTATAAATAAAAGGAACTCTCTTTCAGGGTTTTGGGCTACCAGTTGCCTAAATCAGTGCAATTATTCCATCTTAAAGAAATCACACAAGATGACTCCCAATTAAGTATCTCTTACGATATACTACTGAATACTCACTGATCCCAGTGTCCTTACAGTACTGGACTAAGTACTGTCCCATGACTCTTAGAAGATGATTATACTCTCGGACATTGAGAAATTCCTGCTTATTATGGGATGGCTCCATGATCTCCAAGGGTATATTAACAATTCCAACCACACCTGCACCAAGTCTGGAAGAATAAATAAATACATAAGTAAATTCCGTGAAATTTAGTTAAGGAAAAAGGAAAAGCAAATATACCATGGTCTTTTGAAATCAGTTTTTTTGTTTTTGTTTTTGTTTTTAACAAATAACTTGATTCACTTGGTCTGGACCACGGCAAAGTTTAACAAGTTACAACTGTCTTCTGTTATATAAATCTATGGTAATCCTTGGTATATTTGGGCTCATAAAAAAAAATCTCTTAATGCACACTGTTACTTAATTAATAAACTCCTTTTCCAAACCAAAACCTTCCATGGGAATCAGGGTGGGAAGAGGAAGCCTTTTAGCATTAGACACCACTAACAATGCTTTGCTGAAATAAACTGACATGACCCTCTTAGTGATCTGGCCAGAGAGTCACTTTCTCCATCCTCATTTCATCTGTCAGATTGGATTTTTCTTCATCATTTCAGAGGTCTGTGGTGTGCTTAGTGAATTCTACTAAAGGAACATAAGGGCTAGATTATTCCAGAAAGCAACAGGTATATGCCTGAGTCTGATGGATAAATTCTTTTTTTTTTCAGATTTTCAGCAGCTTATGATGCATGTAACTGGGATATTTCCACTTACTGACAGAATATTCTGGTTACTTTCCATGTTTTGGGAAAGAGCATCCAGTTGTCTAGCTCTCCCAACTCCCCTTGGCAAGGCACACAGACCAAGTCTTCCAGATGTGGAGCTGCCTGTGATGTTTTCCAGTACTTTCCTCTTCCACCCTGTCCTCCCTTCATTATTCATTCTCTAAGTCTATGTCTGGGCATCATTTCTTCCAGGAAGCCTGACTCAACTTCCCGCAGTTCAGCTGATTACCCCTCCCAATGCTCTTTGTGCATATATTAAGTAAGCCTCTAGCACATATTCATCCTCTAGAATCCATCCATCCATCCATCCATCCATCCATCCATCCATCCATAGCACCTGGCCCTATTCCAGGAACCAAGAATGCAATATTAAGCAAGAAAAACAAGGTCCCTCCTTATAAAGTTTCTCTTCTATTGAAGAATAATCGGCAGTATGGGTGACCAGATCATTTCAGATGGTGATAAATCAAGCAGGTCCTGTAACATGTGAAGGTGTAAGGTGGAGGGGCTGGTGGGAGGGGCTAATGTTAATTAGACAGTCTGGGAAGACCTTCCTACAGAGGGGATTTTAGAGTTGGTGCTTAACTGACATGCCAGGACGATAAGTAGGGAGACCTGAGGACAGAAGGTTCAAGGCAGGGGGAGGGCAGGCACCATGCAGTAAGGCAGGAGCAAGCTTAGGATATGTGAGAGATAGGAAGCTATGGTGTGAGGAGAAGGCTTGAGAGTGTGGGCAGGGCAGGGGCTGTCCCTGAGCCAGGCAGAGGCCAGATCACTGGAAAACCATGGTAACCAATTCTATCTGACATGCAGTGGGGTTTTAAGCAAGAGAGTAATTTTTTTAAAAGATCATTCTTGCTGATTCCATAGAATATAAAAAAATACGTATTCGTATACTTGTCCCTTTCACTGGACTGTAAGTTTCTTAGCAGAGGGCAGCAGGCATTCAACGTCTTGTCTGCAGAACTTGGTGCCGTGCCTGGTGCATGACCCCTGCAACATGAGAGCTTGCTGAATGAGCAAATGAATTCCTCAAGAGTGAGACAGAAGATGAAAAATGTTCCCCTGAGCCATTCTACTAGTCACAATTATTGTGTTTGAGACCTGCACCATTTTACAGGTCACAATTTTCCTGTTTCACTCTCTACATAATTCATGAAAGCAGCTCCTGGAGTTTCAGCCCATCAGGAAAGCACCAGAACGTGTTACTCCAGAAGCCAAGTAGGCTGGAGAGTGTTAATAATACACGCTCACAAAGGTAACTGGCAAGAACTCACACATGTAAGGGTTGCACAAAATGTTAACAGGGTTGCTTTACAAGACTACGGATTTTTCTTTCCTAAAATTTCTTTATTATGCTTGTATCATTTTTAAATTGGTGAAATATTAAGAACCTAACCCGAGTAGATGGTGCAAGAAATGGTAAAACATCAGGTTGCTCAGGAAATGTATTGAAAAAATTTCCCAAAGTATGATTTTGCCCTAGGACAGGCATGCAGCTCTGCTGATATTATAAATTAGGCAGATTAATGCCTGCATATTGATGGGAAGGGTGAACAGAGGACATGACACCGGCTCCCATTATGATTAATCACTCATCTAACTCCACAGACAGAATCTTACTGCAGCCTCCCTCATCCTGCCTATGCCTCTGAGAACAAAAACATACTTACAAGGACTTCAGTTTCAACTGTGGACCCACTTTCTCATGCATTTTGATCAGGCGGTTATTGCTGTAAATGAACATCCCAGCTTGGCTTCGATTTTCTATGTTCACGCCAAAGAACAAGCAGAGTGTCCTTGCTTTTTTTAATTCTCTGGCATTATATTTAGAAAAGTAAAAAAAAAAAAGTTTTTAGTAAATAAAAATATACAGTGTACAGGCTGCCCATAATTAAACTGCGACAGTGAAAATCAATAGAACTATATATAAAATGCCCAGGAGTTTTGCAAAACCTAGTTGGTACCCTCAGCATCTTTGTAGAGCCTAGTATTTTGCATAAACATGATGGTCATACCCGTCAAACACAAGCAGTCCTTGATTAAGAAACAGGTTTGCCAACCTCAACTTATAAGAATTAGAAAATTCCAAAAGATTCTTAAAATGTTACGCGGTCTAATATGTATATATGCTGCAGCATTTTTGAAAAATGATGATTTGACTTTTTTAAATTTAGGTATTTTTAACACTGGATGTGATTTCTAACTTTCAGCATGTCCTCAGGCCTCTCAATATCCTATATAGATTGGAATGTGCAAAAGACATTCTGTAGCTTTCTCTCTTTCTCCAAAATCAAAGGTAAATCAAAGTTAATAAGGCAAGTTTACAAGGGCAACAGACATGAGCTCCTGTTTTTCTGACTCTGTCCTGCTATCTTATGTTTCATGTGACTTTTCTATAAAAGTGTAAAAACAGAAATCGAGACACAACAGAATACGCTAGAAACAACCGTAGTAATAGGAGTCTGCTTGGAGCCATGAAAAGCGCCTGGATGTAAGAATCAGAAAGACGGAGCTGGGTTCAAATATAAGCTCATCTCTGTAATAACCATGTGACTAAGAATGAGTCACTTTAACTCTCTGTCTGATCTGAAAAATCGGAAAAATGCACACCTAGCCATTTGGGATGTCATGAGGACTGGAAAAGAGAATGTTAAGTATAAACCTGGAACAGAGTAGGTGCCTCACCAATGCTATTTTCCTTTTCCTATCAAGAATGGTACCCAATATAATTCTTCCTCTCCACTCATCTTGTAGCTCTCCTCATTCCACAAAAACAGCCTTTTCTTTTCAAATTTATGATAACGTGCCATTATGATTGACATAATATACTTACTGGACTGGTTAAATACATCTATCATTAATGGACTAAGAAAAAGTCCTAGTAGTTCTTCTATGTGGATAGGATATACAGAATACATTAGACTTTGTAAGGAAATTACTGACTTGGATTAATATAGTATCTATTTTTAAGCACATACATGTTGGGTCAAATGTATACAAATCACACTTTTTCCCAAAAATGTATACTCCATATTAAATCCTTACTCTTCAACAAAAAAGAATACTGACTATGTAAGGGACACCAAAACAGGGTGTTATAGAATATTATGTAATCACTCTACAAAAGTAAGTAATACTGATTGCCTTGAATTTTCTTTTAAAAAAGCATTTTGGGGTTGCCTGGGTAGAACAGCTGGGATAAGCATCCAACTCTTGGTTTCAGCTCAGGCCAGGATCTCAGGGTCGTGAGATCAAGCCCTGCACTGGGTTCTGGGGGGGGTCAGTGGGGAGTCTGCTTGAGATTCTCTCTCTCCCCCTCACACTTGCTCTGCGTGTTTATGTGTGTGTGTGTCTTTCTCTCAAAATCAGTAAGTAATTAAAAAAATCAATCAATAAGTTAAAAAGCATTTCGTTCTAAAAATAAGTTCATACCAACTAACTGGCATTATTATAAATAAAATGTAGATCAGTTACCTTTCGTGGATATCAATGTAACTAACTACAATTCATCAACCAGATTTTTCTTTCTGGAAACTTTAAAGAGGCCTTTGCTATGGAAACAGCCCAAGCATCCATCAACTGATGAATGGACAAAGAAGATGGTGTGTGTGTGTGTGTGTGTGTGTGTGTGTGTATACACATACAATGGAATACTACTCAGCTACAAAAACAATGAGGGCACTTGTTCTGATGAGAACCTGGGTATTGTATCGAAGTGCTGAATCACTATATTATACACCTGAAATGGATATAATATTGTATGTTAACTAACTAGAATTTAAACAAAAACTTTAAAAAAGTAAAGAGGACTTTGTTTTTTAATGAAGATTTCTATGAGATTTATTTAATATTTATTTTGACAAATGCATAGAGTTAACATTTCAAATTTCAGTTTTGAGGAAAGTTATGGTTATATAGCACTTCATAGCTCACAAACAATAATTCTGGAAACTAGTAATGCTTCTTTAAAAATCTGTTTCTCAACATTGTCCCAGTTTTCAAAGTCTGACCTTACCTAGACAACACTGAATATTCTCAGTTTAACTGGTTTAACACCTGAGCTGGAAACCAAGTCAACTTTACAAATGTAAATAATGGTTTTGTAAGTTGGGCTTGCTATTTTTATTTTAACTATATATGTGATACATTTATTTAAAACGTTTTCAATTTTAAATTTTAAGCAGTACTAGAAGAGAAAAGAAACCAGAAACTAGAAGAGAAAAGAAACCAACCCTCTAAAGGCTTATGCCTGGCAAAGGACACAGAGAAAGTAGTCAGCTGATCCTCTGGGCAGATTTCACTTCCTCAACTGGACACTGAGCTGACTTTTCACTCTCTATGCAGAAGTTTTAACATTAAGTAAATATGTGTATGCATGCAGAAGTTTTAACATTATGTAAATACGTGTATGCATGCAAATATATATCTTATAAATACTCTCATTGATTATGTGGTTGGGGAATTTTGACCATATTATGCTTAATATAACATCTTAATATAATAAGATGTCATAGGCCGAGAAAGAGAAGTTATCAAATTAACCAGCAAATCTGTCTCCTCAGAAATCAGAATTTGTTTTATCAAAGTGCAGAGGATTCTGGTGGAACAGAAAATCTTACATCTTACCTCTGTTTCTCTTTAAGAATCTTACGCTTTGCTTCTACATCTTCCAAAGCTTTCTGTAATATGTCCTGGAGAAGTACATTTGGTTAGGAGAGAACATAATTCTATTAAATTAATGAAAGCTGAGCTGATATTTATTATCCTATTATCCAAATGTTTCACAAGGGTAATAGTGATAGGTCACATTACCTAATGCAATTGTACCATGGTAGAAACTCAATAAATACTTGATAAATGATTCGGTTCCAGTAGCTAAGAGGACACACCAAATCCTAACCCACAGTTCTCTTTTTGCACGTATTCCAATGTTCTCTCTCTGCCTTTTAGAAAAGAGCCATTGCTCCCTGTAAGGTCACACTGGCTTTCACACAAATTACACAAAAGCTTAACAAAGTCATTTGATGTACTAATACACTGAATGACTTTGACTTTTGTCTGTGAGAACAACAACAACAAAAATTGCTAAATCGCATGAGCAATCACTAAAGCTTCTTCAGGAAAAGCAAAGTTGCTATTAAAAAATTTTGTCAGTCACCACAAGAAAATGTCTCCTTTATATCATTTCCAGATACCCCAAATACTACTCCCCAAGCTGTCCCTTAATAGGTTAGCCCATACTTAAGGCTTTCTGCCTTTCAGAGTACCTCAATACCAATGCCCACCTATCTTTATCTTCTTTTTTATCTTGATCTACTGGCTCATTCACTGCCCTATCTCTATAGTATGCTCCCTCTAACCAGGCAGAAAAGAAATAATGCACTGTTACTATTTCACAAATAACAACAGGTTTTTAATGTGCTCTATCCACCTGATGTGAAAGATGGCCATCTCATTCAGTGAGTAAAACACTCACTGAATACTATTTTCCCTGACTTTAAAGTGAAAGCAAATGGTAAAATGGTAAGTATTTCGTTTCAAATGCAACCACTCAACTGCCTCAAGGAATTTAGGAGGTTGGAAGCCAAGGTCATTTGCTTTGCTCTCTTTGCTGAGCAACAAAGCAAGGTGGTCAAAGACTTCCCCACCCTTCCTGTCAATGCACTCAGAACACAGAGCAAAGAGGCAGTGAGAGGTAAGGATAAGGCAAGAAGAAAGCAAGGTCCTGACCCATTAGAGTCTGTTTCCCTTGTCTCTCAAATACATAAAGCCAAGGAAATCGATTTCTTCAAGACAGAACTTAAAAAGCTTAAACCTTTCTTTAAAAATCAGTAACAGTAGGATAGGTCTATGTTTACCTTAAAATAATAATTGAAAAGGAAAAAAAAAGTTAGATAATTTCAGGAAAGCCATAGATAACTTTGGGGCATTACCAGGTGCTACTCTTTGATTTTATTCCCAATTTATGATCTTTAGAGATGAGAGAGCTCTGTATCAGCCCTTGTCCTTGAAAGTTTAAGGGCAAATCACAGAATGGATTCATCTACTGAGTCTGCAGAAAAGGATGAAGGAAAGGTGAAATGAAGCATTTTTTTTCTCCTTACACCTTTTTATTCCTTTATATGCAAGCAAATAAAACGTTGCTTCATAATTCACCATGGTAGAAAGCTTTGTACCACATTTTTGGTAAAAGCTGGCAAACTTAGAACACATGTTCTGCAGCAATATTCTTTTCCTTAGTTGCCATGCATTATAATTAATAATAATAGTTCTTTATAACCTATCTTACTCATGGGCGTACTGCAAGGATTACAGAAAATGTTTATGAACTGTATGGAGCAACTCCTAAGAAAAGAGCTTTGTAAGCTGGAAGTACTGTTATTAATATTCATAATTATAGCACATAATTCCTAGCACCAGAAGAAAGGATGGCTTATTAGTCTTCTCCTTGCTTTTCCCATTTATTCAGGTCTGTAGGGAGCAATAATTTGAAAAGATATTTTCAAGGAAACTTGATAGGCTAGTTTTTTCCTGCTAGTTTTTCATTATTTTCTCCTTTTCTCTTATTGCTTTTCATTTTAAAGAAATGAGCTGCACTATTCCTCCCCACTCTTCTGAATTCACCCCACGTTACTTATCTTTGCTCTCAGACTCAGCCTTCTCTCACCGCTGACGCTCCTCTCCTTTTCCTGCGCACCTCTGTTCTGTTTACTTGGGTGAAAATCAACTTAAGCTTCTGAGCTTGTCTGTGTTTATAAGTTTGGGAAGTAAATGATAAGAGACAACTGTGTGCAGGAAAAGCAAATGATACTTTGCCATTTAAGAAGGCTAGGTGTCATACCTCGGCAGAAGACAAAGAAGTCCTGTCAGGCTGGTTTACTGTGATTTGTGCCTCCTTCAATATGAGTTCAGCTGGAAGCAGAAGCAAGATCATTACAACACCAGGAAAATCCGTTCAAGCAATTTTAAGTGAGAGGTAGATACACACACACACACACACACACACACACACACACGTGCGCTATGGCTGTGACCAGTGGGAATGGCTTATAGACAATAATCTCGGAAAATCCTACATTCCTTACATAGGTCCCACACATGCCAGATGGAGGCAGCCACATGGGCTTCCTCTTAGACAGTACAGTTGACAGGGCATAACTTTATACATACCAATTAAAGAGTTAGGACTGAATGTTTGGCTCACTAAAAACTCTCTAAAATCCATAAAGTATAGATTAAAATTACTCCTTGCTCCTGGACCACCAGGAAAGGATGGCTTTGTCCTCTTGTGGTGGGGTCGGGGGGAGTGAATGTGTAGAACATTCCTTCTTAAAATGCATGTCATGCTAGTCTCTAAAATGATCTAACTCAGCATCATGCCAACCAGAATTTCCTATATCAATATATACCAATCTAGTTCCAAGTGTGTACTTGAAATAATAGATAGTAAATAATGAGATACAGCAATATATGTTATAATAATAAATAACACCATAATTAAACAAAGGCAGAGACAGAAAAATGTGTTATGAAGTTCTTGAGAAGCAGGAATTTGATTAATTGTGGTCATTCCTACCATGCTATAACAGTACATATCTCAGAATAAATGCACAATTAATGGCTGACTGAGCAATGATTAGGTCACAGGTAATTACATACCAATTTTGACAGCTTCTTCTGCCTTCTTAACTTCATTTTTAAATGCGCCTTTAAAAGAAGACGAGACATACAGATACTTTCTGAAGAGAAATAAGAAAGAACATAAGCAGATGATCATTTTGAAGTCCATAATACTTAGATAATATTCTTTAGGAAGAATATATAATCCGGATATACATAATTGTTAAGAAAGATTCATAGAATAAGTTGCATCCAACTGATAAACCAGCAAATTTTATACTTAGGAAGAAATTCCTTGCCTTTTAGTACTTGGCCATTTTGCTTTTGAAAGGGAACTTCAGAAGAGAGATAACATTTCTGTCTATACAAATGTTCATTGATACATATAAAATAGGATAATTTTCTTAAAAAGAAAAATTTCTATGTAACTGACCCATTATCAACGTTTCTAGTTAATATACATAACCCTCTTACTCAGGCCATAGACACTGGATAAACCAGTTCTCCCAGTCCCAAACAACTATCTTTAACTAAAATGATCAGAAACACAAAGAACCACCAAGTAAAGAAATAAACAAATAAATACATTAAAAACAATTATATGTATACCTTAACTATATACCTCATTTTGTAACTTTTGCCTCTTACCCTTATAAACCCAGGAGCTCACTATTCTCTGAAACCTTCCATGTTTAGAAAGGCATCAAATGCTCAGCCAGAGATGGCGAGAGACCTGCAGATCATCCCTGGAAGCCAAAATGTCTACAGACATCTAAACAAAGCATTTACTCAGGCAGAGAGAGAGTCTAAATCTACATGCCCCTGGGGTGCCTGGGTGGCTCAGTCAGTTAAGCATCTGACTCTTGATATGGGCTCAGGCCATGATCTCAGCGTCTTGGGATCAAGCCCCAATTAGGTCTCCTCCTCAGTGGGGAGCCTGCTTTTCCCTCTCCTTCTCCCCCTCCCTCTGTTCACGGGCCCACACTCTCTCTCTCAAATAAATAAAATCTTTTTTAAAAAAAGGAAAGAAAAAGAAGTAGCAAGATAAATTCCTTTTCTCTTAAGACTCTGAAGGATTTGTAGAAGTTTGTCCAGTTACCTAGATGAAAAGGCTTAAATGTAAAAAAAAAACAACAACAACAACTAAATGTCACCTTATATTCATCTATTTCTATGGTTTAAGGAACTAGTCTCTTTATGGCTAATTTTAAGGTTCATTTTCCAATGGAATTACAGTTAACCATAAGAAAAGAATACCCAGGGGTGCCTGGGTGGTTCAGTGGGTTAAAGCCTCTGCGTTCAGCTCAGGTCATATCTCAGGGTCCTGGGATCGAGCCCCAAATCAGGCTTTCTGTTCAGCAGGGAGCCTGCTTCTCTTCCTCTCTCTCTGCCTACTTGTGATCTCTGTCTGTCAAATGAATAAATAAAAAAATCTTAAAAAGAAAAAAAAAAAAGGAAGGAATACCCATAAAATCTAAGGTAAAGTAATTCTCAGTTTTTTCCCTTGATTTTCTTCTACAATGAACATTATTCATTTAAGTCACACCCAAGTGTATTCCAAATCAATCTCTATTACATTTAGAAAACAGCAAAACCTAAGTTTTAAAGTAAAAAAAAATTACTGGAATCGACATACTGGAATTACCATTTGGTTTTTGAAAAATCACACATTAATCACATAACTAATCTGGTATGAATTGTTCATTTTAAATCTTTCTTTTTTAAAAACAAAGCAAAATTAAGGAGAGACTCTGAACAATGAAGTGATCCTTTAAAACTGCTATGAATTAAACTATTCAAGCATTTTACAGACTCTGTGTTTACAGCCCTAGAAAGTAAAAGTGGCACAGAAGATGCCAACGACACATTAGTGCTTGATTTTAAACAACTAAGACCAACACAACATGTGCTCTCTATGTAGTCTACATCAGAGACAACCTGGTCCCAGATGATCTGGAACATCTCAGATGATACGCATGCTTTCACAATTTAAATTTTACAAGTGTCCATACCAATTTTAGAAAGCTAACAAAGAAATATATTTACTTGTGGAAATTCAGCGTAATGAATCTGACCATTGTCATAAGGAAAGAATTTTCGGTCAATCCTCATCCATAATCGGGAGTCTACTTCAGCCAGACACTTCTAATCTTCCTAATGGTGGACTCTTGCAGATAAAAATGCCTTTAAAAGCCAGAGCAATGCACACTCTGGAGGACAAGGAAGGGAATCTATCCAACTGTTTATTTCTCCTTCCTGGCCTCTGAGGGCAGGGGAATAGGGTTCCCTCTATGACTAGGCCTCCAGTTCTTCAGGGGTTAGAACACTTTCCAAATCCATCTCCCAAACTTCACTTTTACTTGACACTTCTGTCCACAACGCTAGGCTTCAGCCTTTGCCCTCATACTGTTTCTGCTTTCTCTCTAAACCACCGCATTCTGCCACATTGTAGGCCTTCACTCTCCCTCCCCCATTGCAGCTTCTACCTCCCTGATTCTTTCCATCAATGAAGCTGCATTCAAATATTTGATGTTCATTTAATACATAAAACAATTTATTGAAGACTTTCTTCTGAAGGAGTTGAAAAAACTTAAGGTCAATGAAAATATTGAGGGAAATGAAAACTAAAACAATATAAATGTTTTGCTCCTCAGAATGGTAAAAATGAAAAAAGAAAATATTGTTAATAGCGAGTATAGATTTGGAACCAGACAAAAGGGCACTTGGTGTAAGAATAAACTGGGTCTTCTTGGAGGGAAAATTAATGGCGCACCCATTAAAATTAATGGTGTTATCTCTCCTCTTACTCAGAAATTTACTCTCCCATCTGGGGAGACTATGGATTGGTAGAGCACAGAGTGAATGTCAACTGGCAAAGGGGGATTTTAGTTATTTTGTCCCAATAACCTAACTATATTATTTGAATTTTTATTAATTTTATATTTGAATTTTTATTAATTTTATACTTTTAAGAGCAAAATAGAACTCTTCCCCCCAAGAGAAATAAAAATATGAAAACAAAGTGATTTTTAAGGTTTTATGTTGCATATGTATAGAGTATAGCATAATAAAGTATCTTGAGTGAGTATTTCAATCCTAACCACCTTCAGAAATTAAAACTTTTATTGGCACTTAATAGTCATATGTACAAAATTTGTGAAAAACATTTTGGCTAACACAAACTATCTTAAGTTTTTGAGTTGGTCAAACGACTACAAGTAAAGAAAACTACAGTTCCTAGCTTTTATTGATGCAGAAAAAATTAGCCCATGGTTAACTATGTTATTGAATTCACGATCATAACTATTTCCTTTTTTAAAATTATGTGAGTTTATCTAGTTTAGTCATACTATGAAATAGCTATAGTCCTTAATTATTCATCAAAACATGTAATGAGGCATGATCAAAAATTTTCTGGCCAGTAGAATGTTGATAGCTACACCTGGATGTCGAATGGACCACTCAAACTTAGCTCGTTCACAGTGGGTAGAGAGAACTCCACTCACCATCACTCTTCTCCCCTACCCAGTATCTTCCTTATCATTCCTAAGATTGTGCTCAGGCAAAAAATTTAGAAGGCATCCATGATTCCCCATTTCCTCCCCATTCCATACCCAATCCATCATCAAGTCTTGCTGGCTCTGTCTTTACAGCATATCTATAATCTGAACACTACTCATGACTGCACCAATACCACTCCAGCTCAGGCCACCTGTACCTGGAATACAGTAATGGTAACCTATGTTACCTTCCTTCCTCCTTTCTTGTCCCATAAAATCAATTCTCCATTCAGCAGCCAGAATAATCTTTTATAAACATAAATCAAGTAATGCTGCTTTTTCTCAAAACTCTTTAAATTCTCAATACAACCTCTTCTTGCCATGCTGCTCAAGGTCCTATAGGATCTGCTCCTATTTACTTCATCTCTTCCCCATCACAGTGTGCTAGCTATACTCGCCTTCTAACCCTTTATACTTACCTTTACAATTACTCTCTCTTCCTGGAGACATCTTCCCGTAAAGTTCTTGCATGACTCACTGTGGTATTCACCTTGCAAGACATCCTCTGACAGTAATTACCCCTGGTATTCATGCTTTGTGTAGTGCCCTCCTACACTGGCTCCAGGCTGGCCCATGTAACCAAAAGAACATGGTAGAAATGATGGTATGTGGCTTTTGAAGCTAGGTTCCAAAAGATGGCAGTTTCTACTTTGTTCTCTTAAACTGCTCACTCTGGTAGAAGCCTGTCCCTTTGCCATGAGAACACTCAGGAAGCCCTGTGCAGTGGTCCTTGTAAACAGGAACCCCCCTGCCAGCCATTTGAGTCAGCCAGCTTGGAAATATATCCTCTAGCTCCCATCAAGCCTTCAGCAACCCCAGCCAAGATTTCTCAGCAACTTCATGAGGAATCCCAAGATTAAAGCACCCAACAGAACCATTCTCCAATTACTGACCTATAGAAACTGAGGAATAACTAACGAGAAATTACTTTTATTAATAAGCCACTAAATTTGGAGGTGATTTATTATGCAAGGGTAGATAACATGTTCACTCTCTCAGTTTATTCACCTCTCTGCTCAAAGGTTACTTATTTAGAACTAGCCCCTTTCCTTGATTTCCTATCTAGAACAGTTCTCCTCCTCCTCCTCCTCCTCCTCCTCCTCCTCCTCCTCCTAGGTCTTTATTCCCTGCCTTACTTTGTTTCTTTTCATAGCACTTAGAATTACTCATTATTTCACTTATTTTTTATTTTTTGTTTGCCTATTGTTTTTCTCCACTAGAATGTAAGTTTTATGAGGACAGGAATTTTCTGATGTTGTCTGACATTACCTCACATAGGGTGGTCATTTCATCCACTTGTCACTATTCATTTGTATGGTAACAATTGATGTTTATTTGTGACTATGTTGAGAACTGCACTGAGTATTTTCATGTTTAAAACAAAACCTATTTTTATTTCAATCCTCACAACAACCCTAAGTGGCAGAGGAGTTCCCAATGCACAGTGGGTAAGAGCCAGGCTTAAGGCATTGCCAAAGGTTCACAGCGAGTAAGTGACAAAATCGGAACTCAGATCCAGGTTTCGCTCTTCCAAATTTTGTTTGCAACTACTACCATAT